CTGTTAGTCACACGTTTGTGTGTGTGTGCGTGTGTGTGTGTGTGTGTGTGAGACCTGTTGTCGGGGGTAACAGTGGTAAGAATGTGTGACATCACAGCTGTGAGTCGTATATAAACCGGCGTCTGTGGTCTACGGGTAGATCACCGACCCGTCCTGACACTGAGACAGGACAGAAACAAACACATCAAACTTTATTCAAAAAATTCTTTTACGACGTCACCTGAGACCAATAACCAATTATTTTTATTGGAGAAAAACTTTGTTGACAGAAAACTTTGAGAAGTTGAAATTACTGACCGACGACCAGCACAACCTTTTGGAGTTTGTTGGGATTTTTGTTTTAAATTTAAATTTTTTTGTTGGATTATTCTCTTTGTCTCTCTGTGTCAGTAAGTTGTGCTGCTTTAATATCTTTTACTTTACTTGTCTTTAATACGGCTGCTTCAGTAATCAAGTTATAGATGATTTCATCTGACCTCAACCTCATCAGGTAATCTAATCAAATATAATTCAGTCTCATCTAATCCAGTTATTAATAAATGTATTATTATCTCTTTTTTTAAATGTTAACATAATCTTATATAATTTCACTGCAACTGGATTAAATGTAATTCCAAAATCAAATTTTACCTCTAATTTAATCTAGTCTACTACATTTAAAAAATCGAATGTAATACTTATTATTTTTAATCTAATTTAATTTGATGCAATTTTTATAAATCTAATCTAACGTAACATGATATAATATAATACAACAAAACATTTTGAATCCAGTTTAAATGTATCAGTTCAGATTTTATATTCTGTATTATTTGTATGACATAATCTAATCTAAAGCAATAACAAAATAATGTAATCCAATGTAGATAAAATAATCAAATGGTCTAAAACAAATAGCAGAAGCTCAAGGAATTAAGGAAATTTATTTTTAATTATACAAAATATAATATAATGAAAGGCTGTAGTTCCTTCATGCTACTCACAGAAAAAAATTTAAACTCACAAATGTATATAATAACACATATATGTAATATATATAGTTATTTATATCCTTATATACAAGAAATAATTCTGCAGCTCATCTTTTGCTGGTTAAATGTAAACAGCAGCAACAACACAGTGATGATAATCTGGTTTCATCTTCACATAAAAACAAACAGTGTCCATACAGTTGGACTGCGTTTGATCACCAAACATCGTCAATGTAAACAGAGTCCGCCTCCTCTCGTACTCTCTGTTGGACAGGAACTCGACCCAGGATCCAGGATGTTGATGGAGCCGGTCTCTGTAACAATGTGACCTAACTGACTGACATTATATGATACCGACTGGACATTAGTCCAAGCTGGACCAGTCTGGCTCCTATCGGGTCTCTACCTCTCCTTCTGGGGCGGATCTGACTCACCGTCATGGATGTATAAAGAGGACTGGATACAGCAATGGAGGCGGTGCTCTGTTCATTCCTATGGAAGCTGCTCAGTGGACCATGAAGCCAAAGAAACCCACCACCTGCTGTAAAGAAATTCCCCAGATGAATATATACTAAAGACATCCGCTGGCCGAGCTGCTAACTTTCTGTTTAGGCCTCTGTTAACTTGAATGGAGATAAAAAAGATTTAATCTTGTAAATCTTCTAGACTTTAAAAATGTCATGGGACTGAATAGCTCACGTTCTGATAGAGAAATTAGTCATTTAGCTAAAAAATAAACTTTCAACCATTTTTACAGCATTTTCTTTCACAATGTAACAATGTAAAAGGTGCTTCACGTGAAGGACACCATTGCTGTAATTACATGGTTTGGGCTTCTTCCGGCAACGGCTGGGTGTAAAGATCCTCCATGGAGGGCTGCTAGAGCTTTAAGGTTAAAGGCTATATGATGCGGTGATGCAACCAGTCTGGATACAGGTGCACCTGCAGCATATGTGGAAGATCTGAGTAATTTTGTACAACTCAAACTTTTTTGGCTTCATTTACCATCACATCACATTCATAGTAACATACGGAGCCCGTCTACATCGCTGTATCCAGTTCTCTTTATACATCCATGACCTGATATTTCTTCAAAATGAGCTTTAATTAACAGACAGGTTGCCAAAGTTCTCATCTGTTCTCCTCCTCCTCCCTCCTCCTCCTCCTCCTCCTCCTCTCCTTTTTTTAAAATGATCTTTTAATGATTAGTGGTTAACATGGACGGAGACAGGAAGTCCTCATCATGTGTTTGATTTAATCAAAGTAACAGCCTGTTGCCTTCAGGTACTGTTGGTCTGTGACTGTAATCCATCAGTGTATATGACTGTATCATCTGCGTACATCTGATGATTCAGGAAGGTCACACTCAGAACACCCTCCAGCCAATGAGAATGCAGTATAATCTGTTGCCATGGTGACGTGTTATTTATTGAATCTAATTTTATTTATTTTTCCTCCAAACAAAGATGGCTACTGCGTCCTCCTCCTCTTTTGTTCCTCTCCTCCTCCTCCTCTTCTTCACCGTCGCCGTGGAGTCAAGACCTTCACCTCAACGAGATGACACAAAGGTCTGTGGAGACCATCTTCATCATCAACGTCATCATCATCATCATCATCATCATTTGTTCATGTTGTGATCATCGCAGCTGTTATCGTCTTCATTTTTGTTGTTGCTTCCTCATCATCATCATCATCTCCGAGCTCACCCTGATCTTTAACGTTTTTCTCATCTTGGTCGTCATCATCTTCACCTTCCTCCACTTTATCTTCTTCATCTTCTCTTTGAGTTACGTTACTTCCAGGTATTTAATGTCCTTAGCTCATCTTCATCCTCATCCTTTTTCTTCCTCCTCACCTGTTTTTAGTGTAATTTTTATCTACGTTGAGCTGAGAATGAGCTGTCAATCACAAGGTAGCCCCGCCCTAAAGCATATTATGGTCTGTTTGACTCTAAATGGGACCATCAGTTAAATATTTGAGTTTTATTATCATACTGAGTAAAGTAGTTCACCAGAAAACAAGATAAATCCCTAAGAGTGTAAAAAAACTTACCAATGAGAGTTCTCATTTCCTGCCACACATAATTTTTCCTTAATTGTAGCCTTTGCAACAGTAATCAAGTAAGATTTAATTAATTAAGTCATATCAAGTAATGATAATTTCATATTATAAGCTTACTCGTGATCATGATGCCAAGTCTAGTGCCAGTAAGACACTTAATTCACAGTACCATCAAATGGAACTCGTTGACAATGAACTATAAGTTATACTTTATTCTAAATATAATGCCCAGCTATGTGGTGCATTATTTAGTATATCAACTAACTAATATTAACTGACCTCTAATGTCAACTTTACACCAATAACTTGAGGAGAACTTACACATAATACGAGGCAGAATGTAGAGAAACAGGTCAGAGGTCAGAAACAATATTTTTATGTTTCACACAGAAGATTTACATGCACTGGGCCACAGCTCTCCTGTTCATCCTACTCTGGTCTTAATGTTGCTGGGATTCTTTTAATGCATTTTCGGTAGTAATGTCTAGCAGCTGTAGTGTCCACTACTATACAACTCAATGCCCATTTATCATTCTTTACCTTACAACTCTTGAACTTGTTGAAGCAGAGTCTGGGATTAAAAATAAGTGGAAACAGCAGGCTTGTTAACCACCAGAATTCCTGCTGCTGTTGTACCGTTTATGTTTTGGTTTCGTTGTCCTCTCAGCTACCAGGTGAGGTGGAGTGCAGGGAGGATCTGTCCTGCTGCCTGCAAAACCACAGTCTCCACTGCCGAGGACGTCACAGGTGGAGTGGAGGGAAGTGAACAACGGAAGTCCAAATGTAGTAATCAGAACAGACTCGAAAGAACAGATGCAGATTACAACGACCGAACAGAGATTTCTGAAGAGAAACCTGCAGGAACTGAGACCTCAGTCCTGACCCTGAAATAGGCCCCACAGACAAAGAATGTTACACCCTTATCCCGACTCTGTGCTCCTCGGTCTACAACAAGGGATAGAAAGCTTCCTGTTGAAGAAGCAAATGGAGCTTCCAGGTGAGTCAGATGCTGTAATACAGTTCAAAAGTCAGTCTGTTGATATATCTAATATCTTTATTGCGTATATATATACATGTTGCAAATTCTTTAAATAATATTTTTCTGTATCATATTTGTTCACTGTGATCTGCTGTTTTATGCTTTTTTTATATGACTTTTGATTGACTTTTATAATGACACTGTGTTGTGTGCTGTAAGTGATATAACCCACGAGTATTAGCTGGCTGCAAGATGTACTATCTAATCCTATATATGTATGTTTAAACTTGCTTTCCAAAAAACGCTGGCTAAAGCTTTCCTACAGGCCAGCCAGATTAACCTTTTTGTCCAAAACCCAAAACACAGGACCCATCAGTGTGATGTGGAGTCCTCATCAGGTCTACAGGGTTGGAGGTGGATTCAGGGGAGGAGTCTGTCCTGATGCCGCAAAACAGACAGTTATCAACCTGACTCGCGAGGACGTCACAGTGGAGTGGACGGACAGAAATGTCAGGAGGTTACCATCGTTATCAGAACCCCGCGTCCGATCAGCCTAGAAGGAACAGACAGTCGTACAGAGACCGAGACAGAGATGAGAAAGAAACCTGAAACCTGGAGACCCTTCAGTCTGACCCTGAATACCCACAGACACGAGACGTGACATACACGCTGCACGTCTATCACAGGGCGAAGAAACGACCTGAGAAAAACAAGTGAACTCTGGTCAGAGTGTCCAGAAATTAATATCAATTCATTTGGCTATCAAAAATGATCAAGATAATACTGAAATAATAATTTTAATGTTTCCTTGGGCACTAACCCTAAAGAAGGTAAACCGATACCAACAACTAACAAGTTGATTCAGTCTCATAGTTGTAGGCGTCAGAGGACCAAAGGAACATCAGAGCCCAGTGGTGTAGCGATCAATACGGTGATACCGCAGTAACGTATAACCTCACGTAAGAAGTAGTTACAACAGATACAATGCTTTATCCATGGTATTAGTTCTCCTTGGTTTCTTTAATAGAACGGCCCAGCCTTGGGACTGAGAGTCACAGCCTAGGATTAAACATTAATTACTTGTGTTTCTTGAGTATTTACTCAAGTATTATATAAAGTAGCATAAAATGTAAATACTCAATAAACAAGTACCCAAACTGTTAATTAGTACAGTACCTTCATTCTAGCTATACTAGATAGTATAAACATCTCCAGAGCTAAGATTTATATAGAAAACACAGATCGAAACCTTTCATTGGTTGTGTTGCTACCAATTAATTGTGATAATACATACTTTAAGAAGAAAAGACCTTAATAAGACATAACCAGTCTTTCAGAATGCTTCAAGTATGTGGATGCATTAGCCGGACTGTATGCGTAGGAGGTGGGGTGCTTATGGGGTGTCGTCGGACTTGTGTACGCAGCTGGGAGGGAATCATCACAGTACCACTACAATAAACTAGAACTACACCTACTGATGAGCCAGAGGTTGAGGTCCTCAGTTTGTTGTTTAAGGCCATTAAAAGCTGTGTGTGTGTGTTGTGTGGTGTTTGTGTTGTGTGTGCTGTGTGTTGAATGATTCTTAAAGCTAACTGTCGCTGGTGAAAGGGCGACCTGCCGTTTGTTGCTGGTCAAAGCTCATCAGGGGTAGCAGGCGTTATGCGTAAAAGGAGTGACCCTGATGAGGGCACAGAAGTGACCACGATGAAGGTCACAGGAGGAGAGAGAGGTACCAGATGACATCAAGCGATAAAATGAGCGGTGCTAATACTCCTCCAAAAATGCGTCCCAGTGTCACCAAACAGTAGAATGAGATGTAGCGAGAATAGGTTGGCAACAGAAACAATGAGACATTTTTTGATCAGCGTGATGTTGAACATGTGTTTGAAAATTGGTGCTGGAACTAAGATTCACTCACTGTTAGCATTGAGCACAGACAGCAGTTCAACACTGAATGAGACATATGGGTGATGCCAGCACATGGGGACAAAGAAAACACAACAGATCCAATCAGCTTGAACCCTGGCATTTGTTCCTATTTCGTCCCCTGTTACCGCTGCCTATCTGGTGCGTTGCAGGGTTCTCTTATCTAGCTACTTTGTGCCTGAGTCAATAAACGGTTACTGTTACAAACTGCTGCTGGCTGTCGTACAGCTGATGTTTGGGTCTGTTTCTCAGTCTGTCAGTGGATGGAGGTGGAGGAGGAGAGGGGGCGGAAGTCGTCCCTACTGACCTTCAATGACCAACAGCTGACTGGCCTGAGAGGCCCTGAAAGTGGATGGACAGCTATGGTATAAGGCACCGACCCATGATGATCGTCCATGTCATAAGAACGTTCTCGATCAGCCGAATGAACAGAACGCAAGGATTACAGAGACCGAACTGAGATGAAGGATAGACCTTGCTGAAAACTGGAAGACCTATAAAGATCAGTCTGACCCTGAAAATCCCCCAAAAGAG